AGAGGGATACATTGTAGATCTCCTCTGTCCGGTTCAGTGTGATTCCCTAGTCTATCTCTGCTCTTGCTACTTGTGCTTTTATAGAACACCTCCCCTGTAGTGACTTCTTGCTTAATTCAGACCTTTTAAAGAACGTCCATTTTAGGTAGCATCCCACTGAAATCCCTGTATCTTTTGTTGCTGTGACAATAGATGTTTTTTCAGTCTTTGAGTATTTTTAGCAATTGTTGCAAAGTTCTTGTTGTTACTCCCAACATCTGTGACATCTGGGATGATTTTTTATTGGTAGCTTTTCCTTGCAACCTTGAGCTATCTTCCTACTTACTTACATGTCTAGAAATGTTTTATATATGTGCCTCTATACGAATCACTTGTTGAAGTCTCTTTTACGCTCCCGCCCACCCCATCTAGATTGGAGTTGAACTCAGAACCGCACACATGCTGGATAAGGGCTCCACGGCTGAGCATAGCCCCAGCCCATGCCATGTTCCGTCTCTTCCAGGATAGCTGATTTTTGTTTAAAACACTCATTTTCATCCTGGGTGACTCGTTTTCAACCCGTGGGTGTTTGTTACTATCATTTTGTCTTGAGGTAATATCTCACCATGGAATGCAGGCTAGGTTCAAACCTGTGATCCAGGGGCTCACATGTTCACACCCTCCACACAGGGACTCACATGTTCACACCCTCCACACAGGGGCTCACATGTCCACACCCTCCACACAAGCTCAAGCCTGGCAGCCGTTTCCACTGTTCTTCAGATCCCCTCTCTACATCCTTCTCTTTCTATCAGCTCTTTAAAATGTCCAAATCAAAATCAGATGTTGTGATGGGCAATGGCTTTTTTTAAGACCCCCTAAAGCACAAGCAAAACAGAAAAATAGACACCTGGGCTTATGGTATTCTCAAGTAATCACATTTTCAGTCATCCATTCTTTTTGCTTTGCTTTGGGACAGGTCTTGCTATGCAGCCATGGTTTGCCTAACCTTGTCTAAGTAGATGAGGCTGGCCTGAAACTTTGAGGGATCCTCTTTGCCTCTGAGTCCACGTGCTGAGATCACAGCCTGAGCCACTGCATCTGGTACAGTCACTAGTTTAAATCTTCACAGAGATTCTTTTTTTTTTTTCTTTTTTAATTGTCTGCTTTGAAAGTTTTTTTTTTTTTTTTTTTTTATCAAAGACAGACAGAACATCCCCGGGACACGGTGACTACCCAGACAGGGCCTGACCTCGAAGCTTCTTGATTCCTGGAAACAGCACCTTTTTAATCTCATCAACGATAAGCAATCTGGAAGAAGATGTCATCACATGACCTTCTCAGAACTTCTGACTAATACTTCTTTGCAAGCCTATTGTAAATTAAGAGTCTTTTGGTTTCCTGTTCCTCTGCCTGTTCCCTGCCTGTTCCCTGCCTTTATGGACACTTATCCCTCAGGAATTGCAAAACTCTTCCTTAAATTAGCTTTGATCATGATATTTTACTTCTCTCCCCAACTGTTCAGCAAGAATAGGGTCCGAGTCCGCGCATGCGCATACTTACCGTTCTCTCTTCCTGGGGTGAACTTATCCTGTATATCCACATGCTCAGATCTCTGTGCTTCCTCCCACTGCCCATACTTCTAATTCCCTTTCTCCAGTTGTTTGTTTTTAATAATGAAAAATATTTTATGCGAATTGGTGCTTTGCTCGCATGAAGATGCTGAATCTCAGAGTTACAGTTTTTGAGCTGCCATGTGGGTGCTAGGAATTGAACCCTGGTCCTCTGGAAGAGCAGTCAGTGCTCTTAACCGCGGAACCAACTTCCCATCCCCTGGTTTTGTTTGTTTTTAAAGACAGTTTCACACTGCATAGCCCTGGCTAGCCTAAAATTCACTGTGTACCCAGGTTGACCTTGAATCTCTTGAGGAGATCCTTCCTTCTCCCTTTGCCTCTCACGTGGGGAGTGTGAGCCACTATGCCTGACCTCTTAGATTGTTTTGTATTGCTAAAAATCAATACTGCAGGCCGGATAATGTCTAAAAAGAAAATGATTTCTCATGGTTCTGGTGCTTGGAAAGTTTCAGATCAAGAAGCTGACACCTGGCAAAGACCATCCTGCTACGGCAGAAAGCAAATCTGCTATAGTGGTACAAACACGAAGCCAGTCCTGAGGCACAGCCCTCGGTATCTGATCTGCTCAGAGCCGGTTCACCTCTCAGTGTTATCACACTAGAAGACACACTCAAGATGCAGCACCTTTCCACTTCATTTTCTTCCCTAGCATCCATCACTGTGTGCCATCTATATATTTTCTTGTTGACAATTGTTTGCTGCATGGTCAGTCTTTATAAACTGAATGTCACCTCAGCCAAGGGCTGGATTTAAACTTGCTCCCTTACTGTTATAGTCCCAGCACTGGAAGATGTCTAGCGTGAAGTGAGAGCTTCCGACACATCGTTGAGTTAACTGTACAAAGTACTTTCAAGCTGGACCTGGTATTCCAATTGTGTAATTCCTGCTACTAAAGATGCTGAAACAGGAATCTTACAAGACTTAAGGCCACCTTGGCCTAGGTGGGGAGTTCAAGGCCAGCCTTGGTAATGTAGTCAGAACTGTATCAAAAGTATAAAAAGCCAGGCATGGTGGCACATTGCCTTTAATCCCAGCACTTGGTATGCGGAGACAGGAGGATTTCTGTGAGTTTGAGGGCCAGCCAGATCCACAGAGTCAGTGTCACGCCAGCCAGGGTTACATAGTGAGATCTGGTCCATGGATAGATGATAGATAGATAGATAGATAGATAGATAGATGAATAAATAGATGGATAGATGATTGATGATTAATAAGATAGATAGATAGAAAAAGGGTTGAAGGTATAGCTCACTTGGCACCAGAATGGTGATAGGGCTTTGATGATTCTGTAACAGTTCTGTGGTGGGGTGCTCACTGCTGTCATTCCACTGATGGGGAAACCACACACAGGGTGAGTACAGGGCAATTTAGGTTACATAGGCAACCTCAAAGACAATAATTAAACCCAAAATTCATGATTCTGAGTTCCGAGATGTCTGCAGCCCTCCCTTTCAGTATCCCAAAGCTGATGTGCCCTCCAGTCATGTCTAGTCTGGAAAACACCCACAGGCATCAACCAGAAAGGATGTCCAGGGAGATTTACTTTTATTGTTTATTTCAGACTGGGCTTAGCCACTAATATAAAATTAGCCCCTTTATGTATTACTTACTCTTACCAATTCTTGTTACATATCTCTATCTTTCTCTCTGTGTGCCTGCCCTGTAGATTCAGTCTTGTTAGCCTCATAGTCATGGGAGCAGTGACTTAAAACCAAAACAAACAAACAAACAAACAAACAAAAAACCCTTTTCTCTGTTTGTTATTCACACATAAACATAAGATACACATATGTGCACATGTATGTATGCATAGGTACTCACCTTGTGATGGACATATTCTTCAATAACTCCTATTTTATGTTGTAAACATTCTCCCTGAGGACCCCAGGTTAGCAACACACCAGAAGACAACAAGCCACCCTCAGGTGACTTAACCAGAAACTAAAGCACAGGTTGCTTCCCAAGTTGCTTCCCATATATCTTAGTTTGGGTTTTATTGCTGGGAAGAGACACCATGACTAAGACAACTCTTATAAAGAAGAACATGTAATAGAGACTGGCTTACAGCTTTAGAGGTTTGGTCTGTTATCATCATGGTGGGAAGCATGGCAGTGTGCAGGCAGGCCTGGGGCTGGAGAAGGACCTGAGAGTTCTATATCTTGATTCAAAGGCACCCAGGAGGAGACTACCTTCTGAAGGCAACAAGGAAGAGAGTCTCCCTTCCACCCTGGGTGGATCTTGAGCATAGGAACTCAAAGCCCATCCCAACAGTCACTTCCTTCAACAATACTTCTTCCAATAAGGCCACACCTCCTAATAGTGCCACTTCCCATGGGCCAAGCATAGTCAAACAACTACACCACAGTAATAAAAACCGGTGCAAGGGCCTATCAGGAGTGCAGGAAGAAAACAAGCTCAAAATCAGGACTCTGATTCATACCGAATGCCTTTGTTTTCACACCACTGTAAAGAGAAAAAAAAGCTGTAAGTTGGGAACCATCTGGTGTGTGTGAGTGTGTGCATATGGGTGAGTGTGCATCCACACATTTATCTCTTATTGTTTCTTTTTCTCTAGAGAACACTCACCAATATAGAGCCTTCCTGAATGCTGTGTTTTCTGGCCTGAACTGTCCAGTTCACTAAGTGGTAGAGGGGGTAGGCTCTGATGGGTCCAAGGCCAAAACTGCTTATGGAGAAACTGAGTGTCAGAAAGTATTACTCGAGGTGTTTGGACATGGGTGTCTCGATTGACTGTTGAGTTACCCTTCACAGTGGGATAGCCCACCACGGCAGATGTCTAATCAAAACTGGAGAATTTGCCCTTCGTACCAGTGGCCAGATACATTATCAGAATTATAATTTAATTTAGAATTTCCCCTGAGAAACATTCAAAAAGTCACTGGTAACTGTGGAAGTTCAAGTTGTTTGTGTCTGGACTTTGTTGGATTATTTATCTTTTGGATATATTTTTTGGACATATTTACCTTTGTTGGATATATTTACCTTTTTGAGAACAACTTGGAATTTACAGCCCAAGAAATACTCAAATCATATTGTAAGGTGTTCTCAGCTAGTAAGCACTTTTGATCTACAATCTATGACAAGTTCCTGAGAATCACCTTGAAATGAGTTTCCTGGCATCTGTACAAACTGACACAGGTCACTGGGAACACTGACTATTCTGTCATCACTTGCTCCTCCCTTGGTTCAGTGAATGCTTGGTGTAGCATTTCACAGACTCAAGGCAACTTGTCCTCCTCAGAGAACCGGCTCGCCAGGATGTCCTGGCCACAGCAGACGGTCAGCCACTGAATAACCAGCAACAGAGTAAGAACTACCAAACCCACCAGATTGTTAGTAAACATAAAGTCTTCCATAGATTAACTTCCATAGAACAACATCAATTCTTTTTTTTATTAAAATTGATTAAGCTATTAAAATAGATTAAGTTTGTCAGCATAGAAACCAGTAAGGCTAGACCAGTTGAATTGTGTCTAAATTGGTGGCAGTTTTAAAGTGTTCATATACTGAGTTGTGTCTTACCAGCAGGTTACAGGCCCGAACTTGTCCTCAGTGACTCATGAAACACAGAAACCATCTGATGGAAACTTGTATTTGAAAAGCCATCTACAGTAAGTACCATAGGCTCATCCTCCTGCCTCAGCCTTCAGAGTGCTGGGATTACTGAGGTATGTTGACACAAAACCATAGCTTTTATCTCAAAGGAAATGAAAGGTAATTTATTATGGAGCTAAAGATTAAATGATCACGGAATAGGGCACATGGATTTGGGTCGCCCCCAGTAACACGTTCAAACATGGTCAGTGAAGTTTCTTAAAGTTTTTATAGTAATAGAACAAAGAACTCAATAAATCAAGGTATTTGAAACATTCATTTGTGGAAATACCAGGTAGGCGGGTTGTATATAGTAAGGCAGACAAAGATTTTTATGTGTCTAAGATGCTATTTTGATGACATTTTTTACCATTTGGGGGAAGTGGAAACTTGGGATTTGTTTATACATCCCAAAGGGATTCACTTAATCACTTAATAGGTGATACATGGCTATTAAGGGGTTAAAGTCACAGATCTGGCCTCAGACCTGCAACATTCCAACTCTCAACATCACAGAAGTTCTTACCAGGCAGTCAACACTGTGGAATCTTTAGCACAGGTGAGGGCTGGCTTCCTGCCTCCCCCACTTTGGTTCACAGATGTCATAGCACACCGAATTACTGAGGGTTCCTCTTGATTTACAGATTTATCAGCTGATGTATGGAAAAGCCTTCAGGGCAATAAAACACTTGCTATGTTTCTCTCCAGGTTTCTGCTACTTAAGTAGCCTCTCTGCTGATCATGGCTGTGTGAGGTTCCCTAAAAGACTAAAGGGCAAAGGTTAAGAATGAGACTAGGATCCTTGGCTGGGAGGCTAAGGAAGGCCAGGCCAGAGCATTACAGGCACCTCCGGCTTAATTATTTGTTCATCTGGGATGCTCGCACTCCTAATAGCCTATGTGGTGTGCAGGTTTCAAAATGCTGTGCCAACTTCCAGCACCTATCATTCCCAACTTGTAATTTCCCAGCATGCCTTTACACTCACTCTAGTCTTGTGTGTGTGTGTGTGTACCACCTAAGCAATCGGTAATTGCTCCTCGGCACGCGATTTCTTGCATGTACTTCATTGTCACAATGTGTGTATCCCAGAATCCTCCTAAAAGTCCTCATTGTCAAAGCTAAAGGGCTGCCCTGTCCTATCCAAGTACCCCATCACAGAGCCCACCTCAGAGAAAAACACATCCCACGCACCTGCTCCATCTCCCCTGGAGGGATCTGTTTCTTGAGGAAAAGCCAGAGTAGGTCTGGCAGCCTGGCAATCTCCAGGCACTTTCACAGGGGCTCTCGCTGAAGGAGAGGCTGCCTGGATGGCTCCCTCTTGAGGGTCTAAGGCTTGTGGATAGATGGGCATTGGGAGGTTTTCAGAAGCGTAGGTGCAGCTGGCAAGGCTGCTAACCTCCTGCATGCTGTCACTGTGTTTCAGAGCAGGGTGCTGGTAAGCCTGATAAGCCACTGTGGTGGTGATCACTGTCTGCAGGGCCTGGGTACCTGCTGGCGGCACTGGCAGGTACCTGCAGGGAAGCTCAAGGTTGTAATAAGGCGATGTGGGCACAGCCTGGCATTGCCCACAGTCAACCTTCTCCTCAAGGCCGGCTTTCCCATGTGTCGGTTTCCAGCCATGATATCTAGCTGTGAGATCTAAGTTTCTCTCATAGCTGCTGTATGAACTGACATTATATTGTAGTGAGTTTAGATGAATCCAGTCTGGATCATCAGAGACAATGGAGGAATCTTTATACAGGGTGGGATATGGACTCAAACCCGTAACCCCAGGACTTGCTAATTCATAGCTCCAAGGTGGCCTGGGGAAATAAATGCTTGGATTTGAATATTTCTGAAAGGGCAGTATTACATCTCCTTGAAAGGTGGGCAGGTCACAGGTAACTCTGTGGACATCAGAGTTTGGGAAAGAAGGAGACAGCTGTCCTGTAATAGGGAAGCTGGTATCAGCACTCATATCAAACAGTTCTGTGGGTTCCGGGGCAGGCACGCTATTGAGGTGTCCCCTGATGTCCTGAGCGTTTCCTGCCTAAAATAAAAACAGCACAAATACAGATATATGACACATAATGCATATTGTAACATATGATCTGTAAATGATATGAACATCTTCACCCATAAGCAACAACCAACCAGATAGATAAAATACACCTCTGTGTAGTGAACCATGCCCTGTTAAGGTTCACAGTTGGGGTCTGGAGGTTGCTAATGGATGCCCTGAATGAGGAAGGTCCCCAAGAGACAGACAGGGTGGGGTTTGAGGAGCTAACAGACCTGTTCTCATCTGTGTGCTTCTACTAGTGGAGATCTAAGAGCCACTCGGATCTGCCTTTAAATCCTGCCCCATCCCTACCAACAGAACAGGAGCTTTACTTTTTCTGGGCCGTGGGTCAGCATTTTCAATACAGGCTGTTGTGGCTAGCTCTCCCCAGGGTTTCTGTAACCCTGGAACACCTATGTCAGCACGTAGGCAGGTGCAAGGGCTTGAATGATGTCAGGGGCTGCTCTGGCCATGCTCTCTGCCTGATTGGCGCATCTTGGTGGGGAATGCAATTTGATCAAGTTGCCCGAGGAAAACTTGTCTGTTCCTTCACACAGCTACTTTAGCTGTAATAAGCCTAGAACACCCTTATCTCTCAGTGCATTGTACTGTTGGACAACTGCCCTTGTACAAGTCAGCAAACATTCTAATGCTGTCGCCTCTAGGGATCACTTACCTATTGTAAAGAAAGAATTAGAGCCCCAAGCCAAGTGTTGATTGAACGATGTTTGCTGGAGCTATGTAATTTTCATATGAGAGTCAATCTTTGTAAATGACACCTGGTATTCATTTTACAGCTAGCTGTCAGTGGACCCTGTAAGTGAGCACAGACCTCTGGGTAGTGTCAGCCCTTACCTCGGGCTCCCCTGATCTCTTTTTCTGGGATTGGTAGAAAGAGGCCATCTGTCTCTTTAGGGCATTTCTTCTGCCTTCTGTCTCTGACTTACTCTCTGGTCTGGGGTGGTCATGAACTCCTTTGGCCTGTGTGAATAAAGAAATTAAATTGTCTCTCAGTTTCTCTAGAGAAAAATGACTGTGTGGGGAGCTGGCCCAAACCGGATTATGCCTTTCCCTGCTTGTCATTTACTTTTAAACTTTTCATCGTAAATGGGTGTTAGTCAAAGAAAAACAGTACCAAGAGCAGACTTCATAGCTGGGTATGGTAGTTCATACCTGTTATCCAGCATTTGTCAGAGTGAGGCAGGAGGGTTATGGTGTCTATGAGGCTATCCTAGGCTACATAGTGAGTTTCAGGCCATTCTAGGTTATACATTAGAACCCTGTTTCTCAAAGGAAAAAAACAACAACAACAAGGACAATAGATATCTTAGAAGGTAGCCTGCAACTCAACTATTCCTTCAAACAAATGTATCTGGATTCATACATCTGGTCCTTAAAGAGCACACTTGAGCCATCCGAGGTGCCACGAAGCCGTGAGACCAGAACTCAGCAGGCTAAAATAGGCAGATCATGAGTTCAAGGCCAGTCTGGGTTATCTAGCAAATTCCAGGTCATACTGGATTGTGCAGCCTGACCCTGTCTGGAAAACAACAAAAATCTATTCAACAGCGTCTGTTGATTCCTAGGAACCAGTGAGCTCACAGGGTATCTGTGGTTTAATCTCCAGAGAATCAGTTTGCTCCAAGTGGAATGCTAGAAGTACTTAGTACAATTGATGTTCTAACCCCACTCACCTGAAAAAATATTGCATTGCCATCAAGTCTCCAGAAGTTGGTGACAGGATATCCACTGTGTCCTCGGCAAGGAACTAGCTCCAAAGCTGAATGACAGTTGGGGCAAGCTTTCTCTGCAAACCCCAGGAAGAGAAATGTTAAATTCAATCTGCAGCCCAGAACCTTCTGAAGGAAGGTAGAGGGATACCAGCTAGGGACAGAGCATCCAGGGCTCCAAAGCCACCCTTCCTGAGCCATCTTGCCCTCACTTTGTTGCTTCAGCCGGGCCTTGTCGCAGATGGCTGGCCTCAGCTGCAAGTGCGAGCCATCCTTCAGAGCGCAGGCGCGTGCGCACACCACCACCCCCAGGCAGGACTTCTTGAGGATGTGGCCATTGTGGTTGTTGGTGTTGCGCATGGCCCAGCCACTCAGGTGGCGCTGAGCCTTCTTCTCCTGGCTGCTGTAGATGAAGCGAACATAGCCATCAGGCCACTCCCGGAAGTGGTCAAAGTGGGTCGGTTCCTGGGAAAAGATGGCAGACAGAATAGAACTTTACACTAAGGAGCCCAAATCACAGGGGCCCGCCTTTATCTTTTTCCATGCACTGGAAGATAAAGCAAGATTTTTTTTTGTAGCTCTAGAAGTGTTTATACCCCCAGATTATTTTAATATACAATATTTTTAATATAATATTTAATATAATAATATTTAATAATATTTAATATAATATTTAATTTAATATTTATTTAAAATAATATTTAATATAATATTTAAAATACAATATCAACCTCCAGCTGCATGCCTGACAGATCGTAAATAACACATGCCTATAAGGTACTAATGTTTATAAGGTTTCTAAGTGGCATATGGATATTCCTATACCTAGCCCTTACACCATGTGTGGGCAGTAGGAACAATTATCGGGCCCATTGTATAAAATAGGTCATGGAGATCAGAGAGCTCAATTGACTTGTCAACGTTCACACAACTAGCAGGGGCTGGCTATAGGCTATGTTTGACCTACAGTTGATTTCAGAGCCTGAGTTTTTTGTGGTTGACATTCTATTTAAGCATGTCTAAGTCTTTGGAGTGCTAGGGCTAACGGTAGTCAGAATGCTTTCCCACTGAGATGCAGCTTAACTGCCAAATAGCTTCTTCAGGTCAGTACTTTTTCCCAAAGCTCCAAGTGCTCTGTCGGAAACCTGTCAGTCGTACCAGCCATGACCCCCGAGCAATAAAGCTCCGAGGTAGTAAGTTTTCCCTCTGCACTGCAAGCTTCTAAAGGTACTCTGATATAGGACCTAAGCCTCATGGTGAAGTGTAAACTTTGGGGAACTGGAGACCACTCTTGAAACTGGACTACCTGTCCCCACCTCAGCAACATGGGATCCCACGCTCTTCAACAAAGACCATAGCTTGGAATAATGTGTCATGCCTAAAGTATTGATCAGCAACTTAGCACCCGTATCTGGTGGTCTTTGCCTCATGCTTTATTTAAAATATAATAAATGCCCTTTCTATATAATTTTGACATACATGACCCGAGGATTTTCTCTTTCCAAGCTACTCATGTGTATTAATTTTGTTGTTGTTTGTGAGAAAGGGTCTCTTTGTAGCCCTGGCTGTCCTGGAACTCACTCTGTAGACCAGGCTGACCTCAAACTCACTGAGATCTGCCTGCTTCTGCCTCCCAAGTGCTGGGATTAAAGGCATGTGACTCTGGAAAATTTATTTAAAGGCAAGATATCATGTAGCCCAGCCTGGCCTTATTATATAGCTGAGGATGGCCAGAACTCTTGATCCTTCTGCTTTTCTATTTTGGGTTTTGGGATTACAGGTGTGGGCATGTGCTTCCACCATCTGGCTTTCACCAAGCACTTGAACATTAGAGCACATTTTAATCTCTGAATTTCACAGCTCAGCATTAAGGTCACCACAATGTATATAAATAATGTCAGAATATGAAACAAGCATTCTATTTTATGGACAAGCTATCCTTCAGATTTACAGACAGCTCACTCTTTCTAAACAAGTCAGTATTTACATTGATGACCCAAATCTCCAAGATGGAGAAAGTGGTTCAGGCTAACCTCATCTACGAAAAACAGACTCAGAGCACATTACAAAGATGAGCTAAAGTAAGAGACTGGAGAATCAGTTTTTATATTTTTCTCCCAATGCATTGAGTGAAATAAAATTCTGCCTAATCATAGCTCATATAAAGCAAGGCAAAATTCAAAAACTTACAACTGACCAGCTGCCCTAAAAAGAAAAGCATTCAGCTATGCTTCTGTTTAGTAGTTGAAAGATTTATTTTATGTTTTTTTCTAATTGTGTGTGTGCATCTGTATGCCTGTTTGTGTGGTATGCATACCTGAAACAAGGCTTCATTTGCTCTAATGTGTTGCTAGCATGCACGAGTGTGTGCACGCACACACACACACATGCACACACATGTGCACACACGCACACAAATATTGATGCAGACATGTGCACATATGCTCACACATTACAAGATGATAGCATGAGGAAAATCTGAGATTGTTATCGAGTTCCATCATTTGATGACAGAACAGTAGCCCAAGACTAACGAACGTTCAAGGACATTTGCAAGGTCACAAAGCCAGTTTCCCTCATATGCCCACTTAGTTAAAAGAACTAGAAAGATAAGTTTCTCCAGTGTGTGTGTGTGTGTGTGTGTGTGTGTATGTGTGTGTGCATCTGTGTATCTGTCTGTGTGGTTATATATACCTGAAAGGTTTCATTTGTGAAATGTGACACATTTATAATGTGTCACATACACACAAGAGAGAGAGAGAGAGAGAGAGAGAGAGAGAGAGAGAGAGAGAGAGGGAGGGAGGGAGGGAGGGGGAGAGGGAGAGAGGGAGAGCATGAGAGAAATTGTTTTGTTCTTGCTGTTTGTGTCTCTGCTCCTGTCTCTTCTCACGTGTTAGATATGCCCCTGATTAAAGACCAGACACCCTGAGCCAGTGAGACGACTTAACAGGTAAAAGCACGGCTTTGCAAACTTGACCATCTGAGTTAAATCTTAAATCCCATGGGTGAAAGAGAGAACTGCTTCATGAAAGCCATCCTGTGACCTATGCACATGCCTCACGGCATGCACATGCCTACACATGTGCACACATTGTATACACACATAAAAAAAAGCAGATTCCTCCCCAAAAGGAAAACTAATTTCTATTTATCAAGAAGTCTATACAACTTAGAGGTGATGTCCTTATTGTATCATTTGGGTCTGATTCTTTTTCAAAATACAAGATTAGATTGTTTTCTCTGGAGATTTACAGTGACAGAAGTCAGCAGTAATGGGACATGCATAAGCACGTGAATCAAACTCCTTACATATATGCATGTCGTACATTAAAAAGCAATGCTGTCCTCTACCAGAGGCGACACATCCTGCTCACACATGGCTCATCTCAGTATTATCTGGTATAGCAGAGAGGCCAAATAAATGCCGAGTTTCAAACCCTTGAACCAGGACTTTGCTGGAAGCCCACTTTATAAATGCTAGGGAAGTAAATCTTCTCCAGCCCCTAAGTGTGCATTTTCACACATGAACACCACACACATACACATACCCCTGCACCCATACACTTATACCACACACCACACACACACC